GATTTGCGTGGCCCTGGCACTGCGTCGTGAGGAGACAGTTCAGTCCAGCAGAGGAGGCGGTGTTCTCTCTCTCTCTCTCTCTCTCTCTCTCTCTCTCTCTCTCTCTCTCTCTCTCTCTCTCTCTCTCTCTCTCTCTCTCTCTCTCTCTCTCTCTCTCTCTCTCTCTCTCTCTCCCTCTCCCTCTCCCTCTCGCCCTCTCCCTCTCCCTCTCCCTCTCTCTCTCTCTCTCTCTCTCTCTCTCTCTCTCTCTCTCTCTCTCTCGCCAGGTCCCTCGCGCTGGCTCTAGCACTGCCCCTCCCAGGTGTGTGTGTGAGGGGGGGGGGGGCAGGTGAAGTGAGAACCCCCCACGGCCGAGTGTGGAGAGACCGTCAGTTCTGTTTGTGGGCGAGGGGTGCGGCCGGTCGGACCTTGGACGGGAGAGGCAGCGCGCAGTCGCCGTGACTCGCCAATCACGACTCACGAGTCACGACCGTCACCCGGCGGAGGGGGTGTTTACCAGCGCCCCCGGTACCTGGTGCAGACAGTGTACCTACCCACAAGGCAAGGACAAAACGGCCGAGCGAGCTGGGTGCTGACTGCAGGGCTACAGCAAGCTCCATGTGGCCCATGGCCGTTTCTTCTACTCTAATGACAAATAAATACAAGCAAGGAATAAATACAGACGACGATGACATTTTCCGTCAGACATGGTTTATGCACGAGCCAAATTACGTGCATTCCGTAGCGATATTTCAGCGCCATTTTTCCTGCAGGCGGGCAGACGTCTGGACGGGGCTCGGTTATTTCGGGAGACTGAGCTGCTGATTGCAGTCATTTAACGGTCGGTTTTTGCAGAGGCAGCCGGGCCGCGCATCAGTTGGTGGCCGACACGCGGAGAGGACGATAGAGAACGGAAAAAGTGGTCCGAACTTCTGGAAGAAACGCTAATAGTTCAATTGGCGCCAGCCAAATCCAAGAAATCAACACATCGGATAGGCATCAAAATGAATAATATGCCCTTTGTTTATCAAAGATTTAATGACAATGGACTGATACCACAAGACACTGCCAACTTCGATCTGCTGAAATGCACCAAAGGCTACATCAGTGGTACTTTACCCTATCACTGACGTCTTCGCCCATTGGTCGCCGATGACAGAGTTCTCGGGAGAAGTGACGACTGGGGCCGGCGGTTTCAGCCCGTCAGCCGACGCCCGGTGTTGGTAGGTCCGCCACTGGCCAGTCCGTTTGTCAGCAGGGCTCGACACCGAAACTCCATAAGGCCAGCGGGGTGCGAACGGGGCGGGACGCGACAGCGACGCCCCGCGAATGGCAGGGAGTTCAGTGTTCACTGACGTCTAAGGACCGGCGATTGTAATAGAGGACGGGTTATCCGGTCACTAAGATGGGGCGGAACGCACCTCGAGAAGTACATAAACCGGCTCCTGACCCCGCACCTGAGGACCGAGTGTCTAGGACAGGCATCTGAGGGGCATTCATTTTCACACCGTCAGAAGTCGGAGAGACAAAGCTGCTAAAGATTTGTTCCGGCACTTCTCTCTCTCACATGTCTTACAATCCCGGCATGCCTTCCTTGATCATATCATGTAGCATCTCGCGTTGGCGTCCTCTCTGCAGACAAATGACCGGCTGTGGACACTGAGCTGCCGTCTGCAGCGGCGCCGGATATGGGCGTCTTCCGGTGGCCGGTCACCGGTCCCGCCCTCATAGATCACCCGGGTGGTGAGGTGGACAGACAGCAGGTGCAGATGGAAAGGCGACCCCACCGCTGGGTGGAGGTGAGGGAGGGAACGTGAACTCAGTAGGAGGAGCGATAGCCAGCCATGTAGGAGGAGCTCTGTAATGACCATCGGCAACGGAATGTGAAGCTAAAATTATTGCACCGCGGCTTGCACGTCTGGTCGCTCGCTTTACGTTCTCAGACTGAAATAAAACTGCGGCCTTTCAAGGACTTATCAAGACCGAGAAAACCTTGCTGCTTCTTGCGTCACTAGTATCCATAAATTGTTCAATAAAAGCCAGTTTTACTAATGGGTGGTTGCATAATGGAAATGACATGCACACAATAAAAGAAGAGCAAAAAAGAAACGGTCAGAGACATAAAATCCTTACAGCAAAATAGCCACCAAAAGGACAAAGCGTATTGTCGTTGGCAGCGGGCCCGAGCCGTTTTCCTTTCCTGCACCCGCCCGATTGGGTCTCAATGCCACCCAACTGCCCGTACCACGCTATTCCCTGAAGCAGTGACAGTTCCTCGTGGATCTGATCGAGCCTATCAGTCGTGGGCCAACAGCCCGTCGGGGCTGAGTGAGTCAGTGGAGGAGGAGGGGCGCAGTGACCGCTGCAGCCCCTCCACAGTGCAGCCGCGGTCCTGCAGCCGCGCCTCCCTATGGCTTGCAGTGCTGCAGCGGAAATTCGTCCTCCCGCTCCCCGCCGTCCCAGGCCGCCCAGTCCACCCGGCCCACGGTATCAGTTTCAGGATCGCCGGCCGCCGGATCGGTTACGGCAAATGAGGCGGCCCCGCCCACACGGCCCGGCTCCCACCCGCTCCCCGCCCGCACAGCCCGGCTCCCGCCCGCTCCCCGCCCGCACAGCCCGCTCCTCGCCCGCGGGACGCCTCCCAATAGAGCACCGCTGCACCGAACCACGGCGTGACGCTAATTATATTGTAAAAAAGTGCAGTAAGGAAAATCTTCCCTTTAATTTACAGCTCAAGTAGGAGTAGGACTGGCTCAATAAAATCCAGACGCCTCTAGCTGCCCACTCAGCTGATATAAACGTCGGCTAAAAACCTTAGCGAAACTGGCAGACAGTGGCACCCATTCGCAATGTTATTAATTAATGGAGGAAAACTCAGTTGACAGGCACTACGAAACCAGTTATCCTCAACCCACTCCTTGATGTGGCTCATCATGACGTGATGCCTCCGCATACGAAATAAACTTCCATAAGTCTGAGTGACCATCAATTTGAGATAATCTCTTCCACGCCCGCCGGCTGACGACTGTAAATCACGTGTTATTCGTGTCTGGCACGAGCGCAGAGTCTCATAACGCCTGACGTGGCCGCACCCGGCAATCGCCTCTACCGGCTGACATGCGGTCCTGGAAGATTTAGAGCACTCGGTACTCGGAGGGTTTAGGGTACTCGGTCCTCACCTCATACCGGCTGACGCGGCCCTAGAAGAGGTACTGGGTACTCTCGGTACTCGGTACTGGAAGGCTGTACTCGGTACTCACTAGAGTTGCAAAATTTCCCTACCGCACTACCGGCATGCCGGTAATTTTTCACTACCGCAGGTTTTTTCGTGGTATCTGGCATGTCTTGCCGGTAGCATGCCGGTATTTTTGATTTTGTGCAAAAAAAAATTTCAGCAAAAGATTCAAACTTTGGACACTAAGAGGCTCTCAAATTGTAATAAAACAGCAATATTAACCACTGCAAGATACATTTTGTGGTAGAAGTTCCATTGCTAAGGGTAGGGGTAACACATGGACCTCAGCATTTCACAGGCTTGGTTATAATTAGAATTGTCAAGAATCTACTGTGGTCTACAAAAGGAAGAATTGGAATGGTACTCATTCATGTTGCAAAAGCACGATCAATTAGTAAGTCTAATGGTAGGTAATATGTATAACACAATAAAATAAATAAATGTTCATGACAACATTCCCTAGGGGAAAAGGCAGAATCAAAACACCAAAAAACACATTGTTTGGAAACTGGCCTTGAGTCTTGAGATCATGAGATGTGGTCTGAGAAACTCTACAAAGAATTTGACACTGACAATCCAGCTGAAAAGGCAGGTGTTAGGTAGCCCTGAGCCTGACTTTGGTCCCATAATTAAATGAAAATGGATTTGAACTGACATTTTGTCTTATCTTTACAAGAAAACACATCATGAAGGCAAAATTGACACGCAGTGGCGCAAAATAATACAACCAAGGATTTACTTTTAAGATTGAGATGCTCTCTCCCTAATAAATGGATGTAATCTGATGACGTAATAGGTATTTATTCATATACCCTTTTTTGGTTGAATAACTGAAGAGAAATGAATTTTCTTGTAGTGAATTACACTCACATTGTTGATTTCATTATAATTTAATATTGTGTTGGATAATTTTTATTAATATAATCATTCACGAGGCAGTGGCTTGCAGTCGTAAACCTTTTTTTTGCAGCGTTTTATTCAGCTGGTTAAAAGCCTCTGTTATGGCGCATTTGTTTCGAAATCCTTCATAACCTTCTGTTTGTTCCCGTTTGAGGTTGGAGAGGATGGAAGATATCGTTTTTATACATATTATTTGGTGACTGTTCTCAGGACCAGTGAGTTATTAACTCATTTTTTTTTACATGATTCGTATCTTATTCACGAACCAGCAAGCTATGGTGGATAGGAAACAGTAGATGTTGATCTCGCTTCCTCAGTTAGGAAGATGGCCGAATCTGTACTTGTTTATGTTTTGACCATCTAGATTTTAAACATTTGGCTGGTGCCTGCAACATTTTAGGAGAATGTGGAAAAGTAGAACACCTGTGAAATGTAAATGTGATTACTGCTCAGTGCTCACTGTCCAGTCTTTAAAAACACATTTCAGTAATTCAAGTTCTTTTTGTCCTCGCCTTTTTGCTGAATGTGTTAGTTTTTTTTTGTAGGCAATACCGCTTTGATTACAGGTGATATTTTAACAGTTATAGACTGAAATTGAGTTTCAAAATTTTGGGTATTTGTGGGGCCAACTCAGCCAAAATCAGCCTGCTGGTATTTGTGGTTGGACAATGGATGGCTGCTGGGTGGGACAGGTACTGCATGCCAAAATGTGGCATCTCTTGTAGGGGTAAGCTAGAATCAAGAATGCAGGTTTTTTAGTATGCCGGTAATTTGGCGGTTTTTTTGCTTGGGGCGTGGTAGCATGCCGGTATCCCAGAAAATTTTTGTGGGGCGGGGCGGTGCCGGTAGCAGCCTTTGGGGAAAACTTTGCAACTCTAGTACTCACCTCATACCGGCTGACGCGGCCCTGGAAGGCGTGCCTGTCGATGGCGTGGACGAAGAGGCGGCCGGGCCGCGCCGTGGTGTCGGCCACCCCCCAGAGGCGCCGGACGCCGCCGCCGGCGGCCTCCGTCGGTGCCGACGCGGGCTCCGGGTCGGCGCTGAAGCCCAGGTCGTCGGCGCCGTCGGTGCGGACCGTCTCGACGCGCCGGGGCACGTCGAACACGGTGTGTGCCGGCTGGCGGTCGGCCGCCGCCCGGGCCGCGGCCAGCAGGCACACGGCCGCCCACAGCGCCCGCACCATGCTCGAGCAGCGGCACCTGCAATCACAAGGGAGAACGGAGGTCAGAATACTGCACACTGAGGCAGAGAGGGCCAGAACACAGCACACTGAGCCGGAGGGACGGTTACCTCATCGACTCTACTGTCTTCCAGTCCTGAAATGGGAGGGAAGCGACGACGACGAAGTAAGTGCGGCGATTGTGTGATAGGATCTATATGTTACAGTTAGTATGCGAAATCCGTTAGTTTGCAACGCAACTAGTTTCGTTGCAAACTACCTGACCGGCCAGGAAACAAAGCTGTGTTTTTCTAACGGGTGACACTAGACATAAGACGGGTGGACACATTGGATAAAAACAGTGAATTAATCGGATTCGACTACATAACGTTACGATCACTGGCGGATCCAGAGGTGTGGGGGGGGGGGGGGCGCTCTAAATCGCTCCGCCATCCACGCAGCGCTTGAAAGCGACAAATATTTACTTATTATGAGAATGAAACGAAAACTGAACAACTTTTATAATCAAATACCTACTTGTTTTAGAATGCACAGCCGTGTGTATGGATTGGGATTAAAATCCGAAAGGTTTTTGGAATTAGGAGAAACTTTTTCGGATATGTCTCCCGCAACGTTTAAGACCATCTTTCTGGAACTGCTAGTGATCACCATGAATGCGTAGACATAAGCGGAAAGAAAGGTTCTGCTGCCGATTTCGGAATAGGGGAGACCCAGGAGGTATGGGCCCCCCGAAGGTATGGACCATCGCAGTTTTGAAGAAGTGTTGCGTATTTTTACACATTTGACCGCGTAAACTGGTAGCAGCCATTCTGTTAAATATACAACCCACGTGATTTCCGAAATCTTCCTCAGTCTTCCTTGGCAATGAGCGGCGATAAAGCGTTTTTGCCCTCTTCGAGTAAAATACGGTAGGGGAGAGTGGGGAAAGATGCCCAGGGTTTGACTATGTCATATATAATTCGAAAATGACGATCGGAAAGCCAAAATTTGGAGTTTCAACGGAAGCCGACATCATTTTTCTCCAAAAATATCACACTTTCGTGCCTGAAATATGATAACTTTTTTTGCTATTAAGCATTTTCCTGAAGAAGTGAAAGGGGGCATCTTACCCCACAGGGTGGAAAAGACGCCCCCTGGCGTTGGGTAAGATGCCCCCTGCACTATGAGTGACATAAATAGGCACGTGAATCGCCTGAACGAATCAGTAGTCCCTACGAGCCTGCAGTAGACACCAAACGTCATCGTAAGGGCCCTCAAAAGTAGTGTTAAGGGGCTTCAGAGGTCATCGTTAGGGCCATCATAGTCCAGCGTGGCCAAACAAGCCTCCGTGGTGGCGTTCGGAGACCACTGTGGGGCCCTTATAGGTCTTCACGATGCTTGAGGGCCCTCGAGCCCATCGTGGGGACCTCAGATGACAGCGCGGCCCGTGGAGCCAACGTGGGAGCCCTCAAAGGATGTCGTGAGGGGCCCTGGAACCAATGCTGGGGCCCACAGAGGCCGTCGTGAGGGCTCTCAGAATCAGATGCCGCCCAAAAAGTCGCTGTGTGGGCCGAGAGACCGGCATGGGGAGCACTCGACCGTACCGGACTCTCAATAGTCCCAGATCGGCTTTTGTCTCTCATCACAAGTATGTAATAAATGATTTGACGGGCTGCTTGAAGGACAGCCTACGGATTTAGGGGGGCGTCTTTCCCCATCAGGACAGGGGGCATCTTACCCCAAGGTACCGAAGTAACATTAAATCAGCACAATTTGTTAGCAATAAAACTACACCCTGAAACAAACTGTTTGGGACACAGTACACGCATGTTAATGTATCACGACTATAGCAAGGGACGCAAAAATTATCTACCTTCTTTGATATTTACAATGTTTTGACGCCAAAATACTTTTTGAAAGCAGCAAATAAAAAACATGCAATCACCAGGCAGCCGTTGCCCAACTGAGCTTCGCAAATTTTTGTGCAGTTAACAAGGCAGGCTTCCGCTTTACGCTAAGAACATTAATTTCCAGGTCCGATTCTTTGTTTCCCCGCTAGAGGGGGTGGGGCGTCTTTCCCACCCTGGGCATCTTACCCCACTCTCCCCTACATACAAAAAAATTCGTGATAAATTTGAACCAGGCTCGTTTTATGATGTCAGACCAGCTCTAACATAAAGTTTAAAGCAAGCAAATTAGTACTGGATAGACAATTTGAAGCTTTGTTGCAAGATTATGAGATGAGATGCTACGCACATTCTGGCGTCCTAACAGAGAGGTTCAGCCACCCACCCCCGTTGATCCTAAATCAATGAAATGATGCTTTCATTGAATGTCCTCTTCAATAAGTTTTATTTTTGCCGCACAAGGTCGAACATTTAACTAAAAATTTCATTTGAACAGAAAAAAATTATTTATCTTATTTCGCGGAGCATGATTGAGTTTACCAAAATACTTATGTGCCCAAGTGACCTCCATGAAGTAAGCTGTTGGCCGCTTATGCGGTGGCTCTAAGAGAGATCAAGGTAGATACCAGCTACGAGTATTGTTCTCATTGTCGAGAAAAGAATATAAAACATAGCACCGGCCCATACCTCCCGGTGTATTTTGATGGATCGAAAAAGCGCATGATTTATTGAAAGTTATCTCGAAGTTGGTCCCAGATGCCTAATATCAGGCACACTTTGCAGGCGAAAAGCAATTTCACGTACACAGTGTGAAAAACCGGGTCTAACCACTGCCCACTGGAAGAAAATTGCCTTTACACAAAACCGGCCCATATCTCCCGGGTCTCCCCTATTCCAGAACCGCGCCGCTGACGAGCTCCTACCTCCACAACCGATCAGTCTGTGACGCAGCCTGCCCTTTGATCATTGGCTGTTACCGAATGGCCCGGCACCGCTAGGTCACCTGGCTAGGCAAGTCGCAGGAGTCGGCCGTTGAGACAGATTCTTGATCGGACGCTTACCCCGGACCACGGGCCATGGGACAATACAGTTCAGTTCTGTTCTGTGCGGCGGCGGTGGTGACTGGTGTGTGTGTCGCAAAAAAAAAATCAAAATCGCAAAATGCCCCCCGGAACTGCCCCTCCTCTGGATCCGCTATAGTGATTGTCACATTATGTAGTCGAATCTGATTAATTCACTGTTTCATCCATGAATGTGACCACCCGTCCTACTCTTATGTCTAGTGTCACCCGCTAGAAAAACACAGCTTTGTTTTAACAACCGATGTTAAAATTTACATCAAAGTTAAATATAACCGACAAATAGAGCCACTGCCTCGTCGATTTCGCATTACAACTAGTTCCGTTGCAACACACCTAGTTCCGTTGCAAAGTAACTAGGTAGTTTGCATCCTAACTAGTTAGGTTGCAAACTAACTGGACGGTCAGTTAGTTTGCAACGGAACTAGTTTCGTTGCAAACTACCTGGCCGGTCAGGTAGTTTGCAACGAAACTAGTTGCGTTGCAAACTAACGGATTTCGCATACTAACTGTAACATATACATATTACTATCCCCCTCGCTGGAACACCCCTGTCACTTTCAGGGTCGCCCCGCGTCTCCCACCAGCTGCCGGCTGCAGCCCGTTTCTCAGTCCTGCTCCCTCTACGACAGTCGGGCTGTATCAATGTCACCGGACTGCCAACAGCCGCCAGCTGTCTATTGGCCCTTTCACACGTAGCAACTTTTCAGTCGCCGGCGACAGCAGCAGTCGCCGGCGACCGCCAGCGACCGCCAGCCAACGATCGTGTGTGACGTAGGTATGACGTAAGCAAGTCGGTGGCGATCGCCGGGCCACGGCCGGGCAATCGCCAGCAACTGGTGACGTCAGATCCGCGTCACAGGCCAGTCGCCGGCGACTCTTCTCGAGCAGCGGACGCCGCCATGACAGTTTTGTTCTTGGTGAGTGGTTTAGGTGATTTGTGATGCATTTTTGGTTGGTGTGGCTACCTTAAATTTGTTGCACAGTAGCATAGGGATTATTATCTTGTAGTTTGCCTGTCGTGAAGCTGTTGTGACTTGAATTTAAGCTTGATTCGACAATATTGGAGGGTTTATGTCATTTGTGGCGCATTTGCCCATGATCACCCATGATTTTTATTTGTGATAAATATGCATTTTTTCATCAAAATTGAATATTTTAATGACATTGAAATTGACACTAGTTTCATAAGGTAATGAAAACTTGCTTGTTGTGTCACAAGAACATTGTTTACATTCAGTATCAGTGCCCTTGAGGACAAAGTGCCTACCTATCAGTCAGCTATTTGCCTACCTATTCGTGCGACACAAGGAAATATTTGATAGCAACAAAATATTATATTGCTGCTCATTAATTAGCATGATCAAAATCAAACAGGTAGCTTTGTAATTTTGTTATTGTTTCTGCTGGAGTTTTCCTTGGTACCATGGATAAACAACCCAGGCCAAACTTAATCCGCATTGGGTTCGCATGTGTGTGCGTGCTCACATGGCAAATGATAATCCATGGCTTATTAGTACATAAATAATTGCATTATGCACAGTAGGTGGTAGGTATGTCATGTATTTTGGCAAGGTATTAGGTGGTATGTATTTTGGCCCTGGAGCTGTTTCCTATTCATTGCAGCAATGCTGCCGGCATGGCTTATGTGTACCATGCGCACACAAGCTCCACCAATGTAAAAATGTCATTTTCACACAAAACTCATAATTGGAGGAAGGTAGAGCAGACCAAGAATAAGCGGGCATTTGCTGCAGTGTGGAAAAAGTCACTAGAGGCTTGATACTTTTTTACATGCAGCAGCCTGGAGATGTCCACAGAGGCATGCCTGAGGATGTCCACAGAGGTGGATCCAGGCAATAGTTTTTACAATCTTCTCCCCTTGTGCCCGCTGTGTGTTGTGCTGACTGCTTGTCCCCCTTCTGGTGGTGCCTAGACTTGCCTCTGCATATCTCCCTGCAGGCTGCTGCATAATGTCTAAAAAAAAACCCCTCAAGCCTCTAGTGACTTTAATCACTCCAGTCTCTACAGCATATGCCCACTCATGCTACAGC